TCTGTACTAGTGTATAGTATATTCTCTTGTATAGTGACTAGTGTGTATTGTATTTCGTTATAGTATGTTTGTAATGACTTGTAAATGTACTGACTCTTGTATGCTTCGTTGTATTAGTAATAGTGAGTAGTAATCTCTTAAACTATACCTATTATAGTTTACTAGTAATGTTGTTTGTATGCCTTTGCTACCCAAAGGTACTGAACTGAAGTAAAAGCTTTTATATCTAAACACATATATATGATATATAACTAAGGTTTCAACGACATTTGGACAAATAACAGGATACTCTAAGTCCACAACCAAACAAGGAACAGGAAATAAAGTGAGCTATCAGTCCTAAGTCCTTCAAATCTTACTTATATAAATATATCTGTATAGACATGAGTTTGACAATAATATAAGTTTAAAAGAGTTTGATAAGGATTTAGCATTTAAAATAGTTTAATAAAATGTTTTGAAGTGTTTGAAATCCATAAGTTTGATAACAATTTGAAAGTAATAGAAAATCTTTATGTTCGTTCTAGTTATTAATCACATGTGATTAATATAATAACTAGAATGTTTCAAATTGTATTTCCCCCCCCCCCCATAAAAGCATTTAAAATCGTTTCAAAGGTTGATTAAGGGGTATTAACTCACCGGTAGTGAGTGGTTTGGATGGAAGTGCTGGATAGGATGCTAAGTGTTAAGTGAGGACTTGAGTACACACGGATCCTATTTAACATATAATGACACATATATGCATCTAATTAGTGATTAAACAACTAATTAAGAAAGTATAAACACCCTAGGACATGGAAAATATTTTGATTCAAGTGCTAGAAGTGCAAAGGGTTGTATCTAAGGGTTGTAGGGCCTCACATTGGAGTTTACGGCCCAAGTGTTTACGGCCCCAAAGTGTTTACGGCCCATGGGTTTATGGCCCAATGAGTTTACGGCCGTAAAATCATGGTATCTTGTACCATTTTGTGTGTTTAAGGTCCTATGTTCTTCCTTGGGTGTTCTAGACTTAGATCCTAGGCTTAGGAAGGAGTTGTGGCAACATTGCACCACTAACTAGGGTTTACGGCCAAGGGAGATTGCCTTGGCCGTAAACACCCTTTTGTTCCAGATTTCTTGATGTTAACAAGGTGTTTAACAACTGATTTAAGTATATAACAAGCTAAGGGTAGTGTACTTACGTTTTGAAGGCAAATGGGGGTGTTTTCGGCCCAAAACACTTAAGTGTTCTTGGTGTTCTTGAGGATCTTGAAGATCTAGACTCAAAAGACGAGATTTATGGATGAATTCAAGAGTGAATCAAGAAGAAGAGATGTATTAACACATAGAGGGAAGGAATCACTTACATTTTTGAAGTTTGGAAGCAAAAGTCTCAAGATCCTTGGGAGAGAATGCCGAGTTCTTGGGCTTGGAATGGTGAAAATGAAGGAAAAATGACTAAGGACCATATATATAACATGGTGTTTACGGCCACCATGGGTTTACGGCCGTAAAGTCATGGTTGCTGGCCGTAAACACCTCTTTAGAGGGTTTATGGTTTGCTTGATAGTTTACAACTCCAATGGACACTTCCTATCACTCATTCTTTGGATATACTAGGCTCGGAATGCTCAAATAGACTCAAAATAGTGCTAGAAGTTAGCAGGAACAAGTCTAACTTTGATTGGATTGAATGGTTTGTACAAGATTGAAATTTCGGGTTGTCACATTTTATGTGCTTAATAATTTGTGATGCTTTATGCTATCGTTTGACTAGATCTATGGTCTGTTGCCGATCGGATCTGGAAACTTTATGTGTTCAGATTTCTAAACGTTTAATTACGATATTAGAACTGGCATGTAATTTTTCGAAGTAATAAGGAGGAATACACGTCTAAACCTTCCTCTATCTATATTCTCGTCTCGACACACCAAACGATTGCTTTGGTGTGCAAAACATCATGGTGAAGACTCGTAGTTAATTGAGTAAATGGAGGAAATGAGAAGGCTTACGATACTGAGTGATACCTATCGAAAGATATCGTAAGAGTGATATCTTGTCTTTAGAACGCATCTAAGAAATAATACGTCTAGTATGGGAGAAGTACACTTTTGATTAGCAGAAAGAAAGATTTTTTGTATAATCCATGAAGTTATCCCATCGTCTGACATTTCCATCACCAACTGAGCTGAAGCAAAATTGATGATTGAAGATACGCATGGAAGAAGTCCTAGTAGAGTCTAGGTAAATTATATGATTGTTTGGACACATTTGTATGTGTTAAAATTGTTTTTGTGATAATGACTTGGAGAACTGCGAGACAATACTTGGGACGAGTACGAGTAGGTGTGAAAGGTAGTAAAGGCCTATACTACCGGAAGCACAGGACTCACGCTTGGATCAGGGAAAGTCACAAGGCTACCAAGGAGCTAGTAATCGATTTCGTTTTATTCAAGTATGTCGTTACCATTTTTCGGTAATGATTAAGAAGATGATTGTTATTTCGACCCTAGTGGTCATATCAAATCGAGTCTGACTAAGATGAGTATATTAAGTGGTTCAGAGAACTAAGTCCGATGTCACATCTGACTTAAGCCACAAGATTGAAATAAAAAGCGATCAGTAGAGGTATCGCGAAAAGTTGCTTGTAGCTAGAAATGCTACCTTTTAAGATGAGATTAGAACATGAACGAAAGTATAGTCTTTTCTGGAAGACTCTAAGAGAAATGAGTCTAAGCGTTGCAACATACGATGATAGGTCATTAGAATATGACACATCGTTCCATTGTAGTAATAATAATAATAATAATAATAATAATAATAATAATAAAACTTATCTTAAGTTCGTATCCAGTGAGGATCGAGATTGTGACTTGAAGATCATAATTTGGAGTCTAACGTGAGATAGGGAGCAAATGCAAGACCGAGCACCGCCTGCAGTCGAGAAGTCCATTAGATACTCATTCGAAAGAACATAGAAGTTACGATTATTACCTAGGATAAAGAGATAACGTACGGAGTCATTATAAAGACTTGTTTTGTTGATGATTCCGGGACGTAATCATCCTAAGGGGGAGATAATTGTAACGCCCGCAGATCCGGGCTACTCAATTTAGAGACAATGAGCATCAAAAATGAGTTTTTGATGGAAGATTATTTAGAAGGATTAATCTTAACCAAGTTGTAGTATATGTTACAAGGGTTCCGTACATATAAAGAACGCCGAAATCCGAGTTATAAGGAAGAAGTTACGGCCCGTCGAAGTTTTACAGCAAAACTGGCACGACACCGGGAGATGTAAATAGTGAATTTATGGTAGATGAGTTTTTAGCCTTAGTGATCTAAACAACATTTGTAGTATACGTTAAACCGAGAACATACAAAAAAAGAACGCCCAAATCTGACTTCGTATGAGAGAGTTATGAATTTTCTAAGATTTGGCATAGCAGTGCACGACCCGAAACTCGAATTTTAGTTCGAGCGGTTTTTGGCCTACACGACCTAAATGAGAGTTGAAGATCTCATTAATAGGAACTCAACGGTAAAAAGACAGACGAAAACGGAGTCCGTATGTAGAAGTTATGAATTTTACGCGGACATTTAACAGTATAATCTCCTCCTACTGTTAAATTTAAGATCGGTCGAGAATTAGACGACGGAGTCTAAATGAATGTTTTAGATCTTGTTTTTACCTACGCGTGGATATAAAGAATGTTGAGAGTAGAGCTCGTATGTTAAAGATATGGACGAAATTTGGTCGCTACTCTTCGAGCGCGTAAATTCGATACAGGTTTGTAAATCTGAGTTAGAATGAGAATTAGCTGACGACGTCTAAATGAAAGTTGTATTACTCGTAAATACCAACGCGTGGATATAAAGAACGTCAAAAATGGAGTTCGTATGAACGAGTTACAAATTATAATAGCATATTTACGTATTAAAATAAGTATAAATCATATATACGTACACATATATATACAAATATATATATCATTAGAAAGGTATCGACGATGCGGTTATTATAAGACTAGTGTTGAGTACTTTCGAAATTAGTTTAGTACAAATATCGTTAAATCTATTTAAAATAGTATTATGAAGGGGTGTTTAGTCGTTTATATAACTATAAGGTCATTAAGTAATTATGGATGGTAGTTTTTTTAAATTCAATTACTATAAATAAGAGGCTTGGACTCTCATATTTCTTGCACCATTCTCTTGATTCAAGAGTCTTTCTCTTCTTATCCCCCGAGCATTTCGGTCCCCTGTGATTCGACTTCTCTTTCTGTTGTTTTAGTATAGTAAGGTGAGCGCTGAAGCACTGCACGAATCTTTCTTAGAAAGATTCAGCGATGAAGTTCTGCCCCTGCACAGCCCGACTCCTAGCTAAAACCCCCTTGTAAGTAAGTTATGCTTACCTATTTTAATATAGCTTATATTTAAAATTAGTATTGTTATTATGAACTTATAATAAATATTTGAGCTATTATTATGACTTATATAAGTGTCGTTATAATATCTTTTCAACTACTCGTGGTACCGGGAATCTGGTTTAAAGGGTCGCATAGGGTTGTTGGATTTCAGAAGTGCTATATGCCAAAATGGTCCTGCCCTCTGGTGTTTTATGTCTGGCCCCTGTCTGTACATAGTGGTTGGAAAGTATTGTTGAAACGCTTATATAATAATAATAATAATAATAATAATAATAATAAAAAAAAAATAATAATAATAACTAGCTGGGGTACCCCGCTCCGCGGGGTTCGGTTACGACCAGAGTTTTAGTCTTTTGGTTTTCGGTTATGTATATCGTATAGTCATAGGTAGTGTCTCGTTGGTGATCGTATTTGTTAGTATGTAGTAGGAAGTAATATTTGTGTTTTAAAGGATATTTTATTTTGTAACATGTATATATATATATATATATATGGTAAATTTAGAGGATAAAAAGAATTAAATTGAAGGGATTTTCATTGCATTTAGATGACATTTTTTATTATTATGAGTAAAAAACAAAATACATACTCTATATTTGCATCAATATATATGAAGGCGGGAATGAGAAGCAAAAAAATAATAATATTATAGTGTATTTACATGAAACCGGAATGGAATCCATGATTGTAGAGATTGAAATGCTCTTTTGTGATTCCATTCCATTGCCATAACCATTAGTAACCTGAGAACAAAACCTCGAATTACCGAAATACTCTTCAAGTCCACCGACTGCAACCCCATTCACATTCTGAGCACCCGCCACCATAGTTTCCAACTTTTTTAATACTTCCATTTTAGTTAATATTTATTTATTTTTTAATACCGACGTTTGAACTATCAACCTGTAAAATAGAAACATATATTAGATATAAAATAGACCCATAAACATTTACTAAAAAAAATCCAATAGTGATGCAAATATGTATGGTAGAATTAATTATCTCAACATTGTATCTAATAAACATAAACATGACATGCAATTACCGAAACCATTTATTTGACTTTTTGCAGAAAAACATACAGTCAAAGTACATGAATGTGACCAAAAATCCACAAGGATCTGAGAATTGAGAATTTGAAGAAGAATCTAAAGGGAAATGTTCTTTATTTTGTGTAGAATGGTTTCACATGGTATTTGTAACTTTAGAAGAGACGCAATCAATTAACATATTAGCAAAACCCCAAAAGAGATAACTTCAATTCTGAACTTAATATTGTTTAATCAGAATCTGTATACTCAAGAACTAAACATCAATCAAAGAATGTATGATGAACCATAACCCACCTCTTGGTAACTCTATAAGGATGCAAATTCTTCGATTTTCCTCTCTCTTTCTTCCGTGTTGACTGTGTCAAAACAAAGTAAAATATTCTGCGGAAAATTAGGGTTAAAAATCAAAAGCAAATGATCAAAAATTAAAAATTAAATGAAAATAGAGACACTGTTCAACAAAAATAAGGAGAAATCGAAAAGCTTACAATCAATTGAAGGTGAACAACTTCGAAAAAGCAAACATCCTCAACACTATATTGTTCTTGGACAGTGGTGGGGTGTCAGACCGATGGTGGGTGAAGAAGAAGACAACGGATTTCTCATATGAGTGAATATTTTTTTTTGTAATTTACATCTAAAAAGAATTTACCTTGGAACTCTCCACTTCTGATAACCATTAATCTGTTGCCAAGGAGATGACCACCTTTTGCAACAGTGAACCAACTACAAAACAATGTGTAAAAGTACGATCTGAATGCTTGTGGTGGTTCCCTTCTTACTAATATATAATAAGCAAATTAACATGAATTATTTCATCTCATATATAGTCTAGAAAAAGATTTTATTTAAAAACAACAAAAAGTACTCACATGTCTGCAATTTCTGCAGTTTATGAGGAATGACATCCCACTACTTTTTTCTACCTCAAATTACAGCAAAAAAAAAAAAGAACACCCACAACCAAAAATAAATTCAAAGATCTGATATTTATAAAAATCTATTGCTTATTTAACTATTCCAAACTCTTGTTTCCCATGCCGTCAAAAGAGTCGACCCATTTTTACACTCTACTCTAATTTTATGTGATTTTTACATGACCTTATGACAGGAAGATGATTGAAAGAGCATGCAAGGTTTATAATAAATAAAATAATGATATTTTAGTGAAGTTTCCATGTTTGAAAACATTATGAGATGCAAGCCTTTTGTTTTGCCAAATTAGATTATAGGTCATGACAATCAATAGTTTAGTTACCAATTTGCCAAATTATTCTAGTCTTAAAGAAGAAGAGAATGGATACATATATAAATTACCAACAATCAACATTACTCAAATGATCTGTTAAATGTGCTTCCTGGATGTTTATATTGATCCAGAAAAAACCTTCAGCCTGCAAGTGGGGAAAAAATGTGTTAATGCAATAAATAGCAACATGCTTCCATTTCTTCCTATTGCAGCATTATAGTTTGGAAAATTTATTCAATTATAGCAAGTGAAAGTCTATCTAGAAAATATATGTTTGCTTTAACAAAAAAAAAAGGTCATTAAAACCCAAATAGGATTATAACAATTTTAATTTTTATCTGTAATTACCATTAAAAAAGGGTCATTAAAATCCAAAACGGTAAACACGGGAAATTTTCATCAAAATCCCTTAAAACCACTAACTTTTAATGATTCGTTGGAAATGGGATGGAATCTGTTGTGTTTATGTTTGTTTCACCTCTTTGTAATGGATTATGCTTTTGGATCCCTTTCCATTATGCTTCAATATTTCAAGTTTTGATAAATGCCTGCAACAAACAAACAAATATTGTTATATTATAACCTGCCAAATAAAGTTAAGATCAGTATTCCATTTTTGGTATCTTAGGTCACTAAACTTTCTAAATTTGGACTGCTTTACCATGCTGATGTGGCAGGCAAAAATATTGCTCAGTGGAAGGAAATTAGAAAGTTTATTGAGCTAAATGGAATGGTGTGATGCTAAGCAACCTGTCCACAACAAAATCCATCACTGATGTTGATGCTGTGTTCTACTTCACCTAAAATTTTGTCCAATTGGCAAACAAATACACTACAGAATGGAATCCATCCGTTTTTTGATTCTGTGGGTTAGTGGGTTTATTTATGTGTGTGGGTAGTTGGGTACATAGGTGGATGGGTGACGTCGGAAGAGATGATGATTATATAAAGTGATTTGTCAAAAATAAAGAGGCAATAGTTGAATATTTTCATTTTCATTTTATAATAAAACATAAGGATTGTAGACATAAGTTATAAAAACTAACCTGGGAATAATTCTTAATGACCATATTATACAATAATGTTTTGTTCTCATCATCCTGCGACAACCTGGTAAGATCAAACATGATTATTTCTCATATACTTTGTCAATCGGTAATTAGTAAATTATGATGTTTCAGATTTTTACAATTACATGTAATCTTTGATTTAAAATATGGAAAATGAAAACACATCCACCACACCTATCATTACTCACACTTGGATGACCACTACAACTGTAAAAGACATCCTGAAAGATTATATTTTTGTTTCTGTTTGATGGCCTTCTTCACCAGGTCTAACAATTTCACTGATCCAGTCAAACAATAACTTATATAAATTTGCAACTGTAGGTCTTCCCCTAGACAACCGAAGGAAATTGAAAATTTGAAATCAGCTAATTGTATGGTTTGTGATCAGAATCAAATGAAATTATTAGCAACTGAGATTAAGAAAAATTTCATTCATTTAATAAAAGAGATACAGAGTGTTTAAAGTAGTCATATGCATGATGTTCATATGACATGTAAGGGATCATAATGAGTCCCTAGCTAGCTCTAGAAACTTCAAATTTGATCAAATTAAAGCACAATCAAAGTAATAATTGGAAACCTAGCTCCATAATCGCATATAAAATATGGACCCAATATAGCCAATGAAAAAACTAATGCGAAAATTCCCAAAAATATAAACGTACAGATAATATGAACTGAGATTAATGGCAATTGCATACCTAATCATAGATTACGAAAGATTTTCCCCAAAAAAAAAGCTAAAAAGGTCAATGCCAATCAGCTGCATTTGTCCATTTGAAATGCACTTTCGTTGGGGATTCTTATCAAACAAATGGTATGCGTCCCCTGCCTCATGCCTACGACTTATCTTCCTATATCAACCAAATCAGCCCACTCCAAAACCCTATCGCTGCGATTTCATCTTTACTTACATATCGGTCAAAAAGTTACACACACACGGAGAGATAATGGAAATGTTTCAGTGACCACCCTCACATCTTCTTCTTCTCCTTTGATCACTAAATTCCCTGACCCTTTGAAAGCTTCCTGAAGCGTAATTAGCCCAACCCCATGAGACCCAAGAATAGTTGTGACCATTCCCACTTTCTTCCCGGATTTCATGCCCATTACTTATGAACTCGGAGCAACCTTCTGCACTACCTATGTTGAAAAAAAATGATAATTGTAATTTGTGATGAATCAAAATTGAATAGTGAATTGTGATTTATACCTTTTCCAGATTGTTCAAGGAATCTGAGTGGAAACAAATACCTGTCGGTTAGGCTCATCAATGGCAGCCCAACCCACATAAACGAAATTAAAGCCTAATAAACTTCTTGGACCGTCTATTTGCGTGTGTATCCCAAGCTGTCGTTCTCAACATTGAAAAAGACGACCCCTTTAGGGTAGGAGTTGGTGGAGGTTGATGATTCTCAGAAGAAGAAGAAACATCGGAGCAAGCGGAGGGAAGATGTTTTGGAAGGAGAGAAAGAAGCAAAGAGTTGTTGGTGGCATGTGAAGGCAACCAATTCGTTTCAGAGGAAAGAAAGCAAATCAAGAAGATTGTAGAAGATACCTGATGAGAGAAACAGTGGGCAAGATAACGACGCAGTAGATTGGTAACACGTATAGACAAAGAATATACGTAATGTCAAAATATGCCCCAAGTCGACTTTACCAATGTTGCTACTTCCAACAATAATACAGGGACCATTTCTGCCAAAAGTTCGCCAGTTCACTATTCATGTTTTAACACAACTTTAATATATATAATAATAAGACTAATAATTAGTCACGGTAAATATTAGACTAAAATCTAGTGGTAATAATACTAGGTTTCGTCGAAGGAAATTATTTTAAAGTAAACGAAGCGCTGTCCGAGTACCGAGTCACCACCTTATCAAGTGAGTGCATAGTTACTTTCATCTTACACATATGTATGAAGTATTTTATATAAATTACGTGCTATGTGTGCATACTATCTGAATACTTGTTGTCTATGTTGGAAGAATGATTTTATACATGTTTTAAAATGATTTAAACTGTATATGTATTTTATATCTACAAATATGTTGGGTATGACATGGGTAGATGAATAATGAGAGATAAAAGATGATGTGAGTAACATTGGCAGCTGTAGACTTAGTGCCTAATAAATAACATCGGCAACTATAGACTTAGTGCCTATTGGACAAACATTGGTAGCTATGGACTTAGTACCTATTAGGTAAACACGGGTGGCAATGGACTTAGTACCTGTTAGGTGTTGGTAGCTATGGACTTAGTACCTGGTAGCTATGGACTTAGTGCACGTTAGATAAACGTTAGTAGCTATGGACTTAGTACCTACACTGGTAGCTATGGATTTAGTACCTGATGAATAAACTTTAGCAGCTATGGATTTAGTGCATTGGCAGCTATGGAACTAGTGTCTGTCTTATAAACCCTGGAAGCAAGGGACTTCGAGATGAACGAATGCAGGATAGATGGCTCTTAGGGTAGACCCTTAAGAGTAAGGAAGATAATGGGGATGGGTAATTGGGTTGATTGTTTGATGTTTAAACGTAATAATTATATTATTGTGGGTTGAAAACCCTATGTACTCACCAGGTTTCCCAACCTGACCCACTCAGTTTATTTGTATCACATGTGTCGATACGAAGGTACATTACGTTGAGATATTAAAGAGATGTAGATCACTAGTGTAAATAAATGTAAGTTCTGTTTATGCTTATGTTTCTGTATTGACGATGACATCCCAAATGTTTTAAAATGAATAAAATACATTTCTTAGGAAATGCTTTGATAACGTATTTATCATGTTTTTCTAGGAACAAATTCCGCAACATTTTTATTAAAAGAAGTACTCTGATTTCTATAAAGCGTAAATAAAATCGGTCTTTTCTGGCCGTGAAAATGGGGATGTCACACTTGACACTTAACATCCTACAACTGATCTTACATTCGTATCACTCACTACAGGTGAGTTCATACCCCTTAACTTATATTTTAAATGATTTTAAATGGTTTTATGGGGGGGGGGGGGAATACAAGTAGAAACATTATAGTTATTATATCAATCCATGTGATTAATAACTATCAAACAAATGGATTTCTTATACTTCAAACTGTGTTTTCAAAGAAATTGCTTCAAATCGTTTTTACAAACTCTTTTATATGCAAAACTCTTTATTAAACTCTTTTAATCTTATATATTGTTAAAAATCATGTCTATATAGATATCGTTATATAAGTAGGATTGAAAGGGCTTCGGACTGATAACTCGCCTTATTTCCTGTTCCTTGTTTGGTTGTGAACTTAGGGTATCGGTTGTTTGTCCGAATGTCGTTTGAATCTTAGTTATATATTATGTATATGTATATAGATATAAAAGTTCTTTGTTCAGTTCAATACCTTAGGGTAGCAAAGGTGTACAAACATGTTCATTCATTCAAACAACATTGCTAGTAAACTATAATAGGTATAGTTTAGGAAGTCACTAATACTATTTCTAGAACAATGAAACATACAAGATTCAGTTCATACATGAGTCAGTTCAAACATACTATAATGAGATACAATACATACTATAACGAGGAACAATACTCACTATAAAGAGAAACAGATAGAACATACTATGCACTAGACAGAGAGAACATACAATACACTAGAACATACTATACACTAGACAGAGAGAACATACAATACACTAGAACATACTATACAAATACAAGAATACTATAACATTAATGTGATCCACTACTTCATGGCGTGTAAAATTACTGATGTGTCACGTTTTGTACCCATAGTCTCTTGGAGGGAGAGCGTGAATTTATGTATAGATCTATACGAGATTGACCATCCCACACCTTGCTGCTAGCTACAGTGGGACCTGCAGGTCTACGGGTGACGAATGCCATATCATTTTTGATGTCTCGAACGTCGTGTTATGCTAGTCGATCAAGTATGGTTACAATCTTATCACACTTTACCTTAATTAAACAAACATGTTTAAGGTAGTTAGTACATTGGTAGTTACTTAGATAAAACTATAGTACATCTTTATTTTCCCATTTCATTCACATTGTGATCTTCTCACATAAACGGTAATGAAAACTATATTTTGGTAATGATAGTCATACTTTGGGAAAACACTCACTTTTACAAAAGAACAAACATAAAGAACAGTTGGGTCTAGGTAGAAGACTACTTTAGTAGAAAATATAGGATTTTCTAGGAAGTTTACAAACATTTACATCAAACACTTACAAACTTTTACATCAAACATTTACAAACACATTCTTCAAACTTATACAAACAATGACACTAAAATACTTATGAACTCACCAGCTTTAATGCTGATCTACGCTTTCAAAATAACTTGTATTCTCAGGTCACCAATAGACAGGTACCGATGACCAGGTTTTGAGAAGGTGGAGCACATTCAAGACTCATCTCTTATTTTGATTCATATTTTTGGTGTTTTATAAACTATTCAGAACACACTTGTATTAAATTATATTATTAGTGCAATGGATGATGTTGTTGCTTGTTTTACTATTATGCATTGTTGTGATACTGTACATGACGTCCTCCGCCCCCGAACGTTTCCGCCGTTCCGGTTTGGGGTATGACAGATTGGTATCATAGCATTGTTTATAGTGAATTGAGTATATCAACCCATAAAAAATATACAACTATAAACACAACGGGATTAAAATACTCTGATAAAGAGTTTATACTTTTAAATAATAAAATATTTAACCAAAGTATACATACCTGCATTCATACTAAAATCAGTGTCACTAGGACAGAACAAAATTATTACGATTGTTGGACAGCACAAGTAGGCTTGGGGACATATAATCAGATCTGGGAGTGATATAGCCTGATCAACTATATATTTCTGAGAAGTGATTAGCATGTGCCTAGGAATGGTTGTGATGTTGCAGCAAGTCTAAAAACTTACCAACACTACTACAATGAAAACATTAGAACAGAACATAAACTTAAAATACTATAGGAGTATTTTGTGTTACTATAAATTACTTATGTGCAAACTAAAAAGGTCTTTATTAGTATGTCAATAGTTGCTGAGTGGATACGCTAAGGTTAAACGTGACTACGGTATTATAGACTTAGAATCTGTGATCTTTGCTTTAATTGCTGTTCCTTGTTTGGTTGTGGACTTAGAGTTAGGATCACTTATTCGAAGGTCTATCCTGTTTTGGTTACATATGACTGGTATGCACTACACAAATGTTGGAGTAACTGGTAAGGATCATCTTATAATTATCTTAATTAGTACGTCTATTAATTATTTCTTTTACCCCCATTCTCGCGTAGATAACATGGCTGGATTCAATCTCCCTGATGACCCGTACTTTCCCAACCACGGCAATGGTGGATGGCTCGATGATGAGCCATAAGAGAATTATGCAATTCCGTTGGACGATGACTTCGCAGAGAACTTCCCGGAGGATTCTGACTCCGAGCCAGAAGTCAATGATCAACCCCTGGTAGCTCCAATCCCAAATCCTAACCCTCGTCCAGCTTTTCAAGGCCCGACGCCTCTGTGGGTGGAAAGTTTGGAAACATGGAGTGAAGAACAGTGTCAACCTATGCCATACAACGGAGACAGAAGCTTCTACAACCTGAGCAAAGGAGGCTCAGCGGACAGAGTCCTGCCTATTCTGGTCCGCAGAGTTGCTCGTAATGAAATACAGGGAAGGACAGCCCTCAACCGAATCACGGAGGTTGATGCCAATGCGAGAGTCAATACTGTCCTCATTCGTCATCTGGAAGATGCTCGTGAGAGAGATGCGAGAGACAATGAGTCTCTACTGCAAGAACTAACCGTGAATCGAGCTGAAGTCATAGAACATCGTGTACGCCAGCGAGTGTATGAGCGACGCCTTCTTGATTTGGAGAGTCGGCTGGCAGATTTAAGGCTTCGCCCAAGGGGTTCCCATCGCCAGTAGGAGATGCTCTGCTCAAATTTCCTTTTATCTAAGGATTAGCCTTCTTATCTATGCTCTAAGTAGCACTTTTCCCTATAATTTCCTATTTATCTTAAGACCTTGAACTTTCAGTCTATTAGGTCTTTATGCTGTCAAAAAGTTTCTTATCCTGCTTTGATGTAAGACCTACTTCTAGGTCATTTTCCCGAACTTGTTACATCTATAATACCAATATTATTGATAGATATCTAATCTCATGGAGATTATTATCCAAAGGCTTTCATCTTTCTAGTGCTAGATCTCTATTCAATCATACTTTCATTTGTTTAGTTGGGCTATGGAGAGTTAGTCCATGATTCACTCTCATCATTCTCTCTATTGAATTCTTACCAATAACTTCATCTTTGTGATCTTATAGCTTCAAGATGCCTCCTCGTAGATCGAACAGGCACGCTACTCCAATAACTCCAAATCAAACTCCACCTCCTCCTCCACAATACAACCCAATAGCTATTCAAGCTGCTGTGAATGCGGCTGTTACGACAGCCCTAGCACAATTCCCAACTTCCGGTACTAGTGGGAGTGGAATGAATGTGCATTCCACACCAGTTGAAGCTCGAGTGCGCTCTAGGGAGTGATCGTATAAGGACTTCACCAGT